CCCCCCCCCCCCCCACCCCCCCCCCCCCCCCAGTCTTTACTGCAGGCCACATAGGACTCTTGACAGTTTCTAAGCTGAGCTGGAACTTGGATTTTAACACTCCCGAGCAGTGTTTTTTTTTTTTTCTTTCCCCGCCTGTGTCAGAAGCCTTGAACAAACAGAGGAAATAAGGAAAAAAAAAAAAAAAAGAACGGGATGGGGGAAGAAATACTTCCCAAGACCATCCCACACCTGCACAACAGAGAGGTAAAAATATTTTACTTTTTCCTTTCTCTCTCTTCATTTAGCTCTGTGATGTTTTGGACCTTTGAAATAAAATAGTTGAACTTTAAACAGCTCAGATAACCAAGTCCATCAAGCTTGCACTTCAACAGCTTTCTCAGTAATGGATAATAATGTTTCTTTGGAGAATGAAATACCATTTTTGTTCTCCTCAGGGAATTGTGCACTTGAGCCAGGTTAATTTTTACTCAAAGCATCTGTGTGTCCATAAGAAAGTTCATATTTGATGTTAAATAATTCAAATTTAGTTTATCCGTTTCTGTTTTACTTGAGACTAATTATAATGTTTTGGGGAGAGAATTTGGAAATTCAGTTTTAAGCATTAAGATATTCACAAAGCTACTGCTCAGGTTTAAGTTTCCTTCTCTGACTCCAATGTTATATATATATATATTGTATTCTCAGTCCTCACATCATTGCCCTCAATTTCTTATCATTTTCTCTTGATTCATACACCCAATGCCTAGCAGGACTTCTTGTACATCATATCACCTCACAATGCACAAATCCAACATGCCATCAAAACAGTGGTGGTCAAGTTCTTTCTTATAGAATTGTGTAGATGTATAGATTCCAGGAAAAAGGTTACAACTCTGTACCTGTTATTTTAAAAACGCATTCTCACTTATGAGAACTTTAGTAATCTCAGAGAACAATGAAGAAAAAGTTTAATGCATTGCAATTCTGTCAGTAGGATTTAATGAGTAGGACTTTCTATGGATAGTGTCTTTTTCTTTTAATTACTGATTTGCAAGTATATCAATACATCATTAGATGGATAGTTTGGTGTTAAATAATTTAAGAGTTGATAATCTACTGAGCAGGACATAGAAATATGTCCATAGAAATACGAGAAGAACCCATAGAATAGGAGTGCTAGCAAATGCAAAATCTTGCTCTTGTTTTCATTTCAAGGCAGGAGGAAGAACATATTAGATCTTTATAGGCTAATGATCTCTTACTCAGGTAGTAGATCATATGTCACCCATCTTTGCTTCTAAATTCCCACTGTAAAATCTAAGTCTGGTACACGTTATGATAACTTCAATGAATAGGAGTCCATACATCTGATTTGTTTAGTAAGAAATGTATACATGTTGGAGGTCAGTTCTACACATCTTAGTTCACTATTGTTACATCTTTTGCAATGATGGCAAATCACAAAGCATTGGTGGCTGGTATGACTGCATATGCACACACATGGATGTACACACACACAGAGCAGCATGCTGGCAATTGACTAGCTACATTACTTGGAGAGTGGTTAATAGCTAGGCCAATGCTTTGCCATTTATCAAAGCTTTTGTTTAGATTTGTTATGTCTTTGAAAGCACTCATCTCCATTTTAGCTAGTGTTCTCATGATTTCAAAAAAGTAGAAAGAGGTGAACATATATATGATTATCCCATTCCCTGTTATTCAATTAATTTTGTAAAAGAACTAAAGGAAGCTAACATGCACCTTGATTTATTAAGTGGAAAAGCCTGTAATGCTTACTTTCTAAAATAGACTCTTCTTCCTAAGCATAAATATAAAATTCCCATCATACCACTATGCTGCAAAACATGAGTCCAAGTCTGATTACAGGATTAAGATGATCAAAATTAGTATTATTCAAGGAGAAAATAGTTGCAAATCAAATTGCTTACTGAAGCCTCGGATTTTGGTTTCTACTTAATCTTTTCCAACCCTTCAATGGTCTAGTTTACACATAATAATAAGTCATAATTTAGCTAGCTTGCTTTTTTGCTTAGTGTGATATTGTAAAACCCTCATTCTGGTTTAGTGTTGTGTACAAGTTAGGTCGTGATAGTCTGTTCAGCAAACCATTATTTTAAAAATCCTGGTTTCAGATTATGTGTGAACTCAGCCCTTATTTGCTAAGATAATGTAGTGTTATTCATTCAAGTATGTAAGCCTGTACCATCTCTAGATTAGTGCTTTGTATAAGCGTTTATGAATAGAAAAAATTGAACTTTGCTCAGTGCTTGTATAAACTAAACAGAACTTCCACTTTCAAAGTTCTGATGCTTTCGTAAGTTTAAAGGCAGTAGCAGATTTGGATCAGAAGATATTAATTTCCTTAGAGAATCGCATGCAGAAATCAGCTAGCATAGTTCATATACATCTGTGGGCCATATCAGAACAGTTCCGTGCCTTTTTACGGTACCATGATAGAATCATCTGATAAAAGAAATGTAGAGAACTCAAGATAGGTAAAAATTAATCAGGAAGAATTGATACATAATCTAAATTTCAGTTTTAGATTAGAAAATACCAGTATAATTTAGAGTAATGATCAGAAGTGTCAATACAAAGTAACAAGAAGTGGCAGTGAGAAAAGCAGCAGCATGCCATCACAATGCAAGGCTTATTAAGTCTCTTTCGTATGTACGTGAGGAAGAATGCCCCTGGGGGTGACATTTTGCATATTTCACTGTGTCGGTTCTTCCAGAAGACATTGGGTGATAACAGCCTAGAAACTAAGCAGGTTGGACTTGGTCAGAACTTGTATGGGAAACTGCTATGGTTACAGTCAGGATAGGATTTAGGAGCTCCTTTCTCCAGGATCCATTCCCCATTTTTATGATTGTTATGCCAATCTTCTAGAATTAGAACTCCCTCATAGATCTTTGTGGTGGTGTGACTTTGAAATAATGGAAGTTTTGATCATGTAACAGACAAACTACTTCTGATAAACTGGTGGTGAGATGCTGACCTATATAATTATCCAGGTGCATCAATAAAAAACAACTTCTTTACAGATTAGTCTTAACATGTATAAGCACAGAAACACTTTCTCTTCTCCTTATGCCAGCCATTTTAATTTGCTTTCATACAGCTACAAACTATTTTCTAGTGGACATGACTGGAGATAGTTACATTCTTCAGATATTTTATGTTTCCCAAAACTAACATTAAAGGGCAAGAAAGAAATCTGCAAATGGACTTTAAATATTTCCCATGAATCACCTTATAGAAGAAACATTGTTGATGCTGTCTTGTGTTATATAGATAGTTACAACAACAGAATTTGCAAAATAGACCAGACTGATGACTCATTTAGACCACTGTCCTGTCCACTGTATCTGTTCATTAACCACTATCTCAAATCAGTGAGCGCTAGAAAACGTCGTAAATTTAAAATTAAAATATACTTTATCTTAGTACATTTTAATTTTAAATTTACTAGAAAAAGGAGACAAGCAATTGTAAAATAATGAAACTAGTAATTAGCAGAGCGTGCCACTGTAAATTATGCAAGTTGATGTTGCCATTTGAGCTAAGTAGCCAAATGCAATCTATTATTTCTGAAATAGAAGGGAGTAAAGTGAATGGCAGAATATAGCCTCCTACTCAGGAAGGTAATAATGTTTTGGGGTTTGCTTTTAAGAATTAGGTTTCATTTTGGAAGATATAGAAAGAAAAATAAAACATCGGGGTGGAATAGTTATATTTTCTCATTAGACTAGCCAACTAACTGTGTGGTACTCTCTTTTGGCTATTTAGTAATTCTTTCTTCATTTGGCAGAACTGTCTCTGAATTGTAATCATGCTGTAATAAAGATAACATGGTAGATATCTCAAGGAATGGAGGATACTCATTCCAAACAAGATGAAGCTTAATGTTTACAACAGCTGTTGCTTTCTGTGGAAGGAAGGACATTGGTAATACTGTTTGTCCAGTGGAATTGAAATTGAGATAGTTCCACGGTCTGGATATTTCTAATTTTGTATCATTACTAGAGCTGTGTGAACCATTTGGAGAGGTGCTTCACAAAGCCACTAAAGTGGCTCCCTGAACCCAGGAAGGCACCATAACCTCTCAGAAAGCCAGCACAGTTATTTTAAAGGCCTTCCTGTATGGTCTGAAATTGCATATGCCTACACAGAAGATACTTCTACTATGACTGTCACCAAAGCAAAGCTGGAAACAAAAATCCCCTCATCCTAATTGCAGAGAAGATAAAAAGAAGGTATGCGTCCATTGAAGAGAAAAAGCAAACCTGACAAAATGCATGTCAATTTCATCCCTGTTAATTTGGTCTGGGCTACTGTGTGGGAGTTGAAGGGCTATCCAGACATTTTCTCTGAACTCAGAATACAGTATTCACTGATTTATTATTAGCTACGTTGACCCTTTAAAGGTAGAATTACATTCTATCTGTGAATCTCTGGATCAATATGGGATAATTATTACAGTGCCAGATTATAGTTGGAATCGCATAGTATATTAAACCATGGTTTATGTAACTATGTTTATTAAATACCGTTGACCAGGTTCACATGATATCCTAAATTATTACTCATGGTTAACAAACTGCAATACCTGTGACAAACTGTAAAACACTAAGCCAAATCAAACAAAACACATTTTTTTTTAAGGAGGGTAGGTGAACACTGTTTCTCAGTGGAGACAGCCAGCTCCTCATCCAACTAAAAAGCTGATTCTGTGACTGTAGGCCACGATCTAGTTGGCCTACTTTGAGGGTTTAAGTTGAACCTACTTTGTGAGGATAAAATAAGGAAGATTTACATTTCATATATAAGTGTAATCTCTATCCATTATTTCAACTAAAAATACATACAAACTTGTATAAACTCCAGGTCATTTTCATTTAACAGCAATATGCTTTTTTATATATATATGTATATATATATACACACACACACACAATATGTTGATATAGATACTATGGATATAGATTTATAACTCATGGAGGCAGCCCAAATCATCCATAAACCATTTGACCTTCTTGAGAATGCCCCAAAGTATTGGTCATCTAATATTTCTCAGTTATCTTTGTCCATCCTTAGCATTGTTACTCAGATTTGAATGTACTTTTTCCCAAGCAAGTATCTGTAAGATTGCAGCTCAAAACTGTTGTGATTAATACACCACACGTTTATATTTCACTTCCTAGAGGTATTTTATAGATTCTTTCAGGAGGAGATATAGCTCT